CATATCTGCTACACAGGCTGTTCAAGTCCTATAGCCGTTGCCTTGCATCACAGGGTAGATCGTAGTGGAAGCAGCTGACAGTGGTTTTACTGTATTTCGAGTGTCTGACTCAGGCTTTCAATGGCCGAGGCATCTCCTTCAAAGATGGCTACCTCATAAGACACAGAGCCAGGCCACCCTCCCCTCCAAAGTTTCCTTTGTTTTAGACATTTCTGGTGGACTCAGGTAACTGACCAATGGTTTTTCCTTCCCGTGCTTTGATTCCCACTCTTATGTTAAATTCACCGATAAAGAGGGAACCTGCAAAACTCTAGGCCCCCACTCTTGACCCCAATAAAAGCAGACCCAATAAAAGCAGACCCAATTAAAGGCCCACGCATTGCTAACAAGTCCCCAGGGATACTGCTGCTGGGCCGAGTACCCCACTTTGAGAACCCCTGCTCGGAGAGGAACAGCTCCTGTCCCATAAAGCCCACAATCTAGCTGGGGACGTTCAAAAAAGCAGGTGAATTCAATAGTTTCTAACAAGATCCTAGGTGCCCTGTGGGAGCACAGAGGAGGGAGCATCTAACTCTGAGACAAAAAAAGCCCGATACACATATGAGGTGCTGCAGAATGCCCCAGTTTGTTTCCTGAGACAACCTGCTGGTCATCAGGCCTCGATTTCTTATTGTATAGATGTAGCGGTGCCCCTGCCAGCGGCCCTTTTGTTCTGCCCTCAGGTTGCTGGGCCCTACTCACCACCGGCACAGTTCTGCAGGGCAGGACCCCAGCTGCCACTCATGATGGTAATGGCAGCCACCTGGCCCCTGTTATCTCAGGCTCACAGGAGATATTCCTCAGCCGCTCAGTTCTATGGCATCTCCTACTATCCGCTCTGGTCGAGAGATGGGGAACCTCGGATGAACTTCTTAGCCATGCTGGGGCCCCTCTGATCAGCACGTCCTTCCTGCTTGAGTAGATGGATGCATCTTCCAGGCCTTCCTGTGAAAGTCACCCACGGGGCATTCTGCCTCGCACAGCGCATCCACTGAGCTTTAGAATCCCTTCTTTCTCCACCCAACACAGTAATTCTGGCATTGGTACCTCACTCAGGGTACTCCAGGGTCATTCCCACGCCTCTAGGACCCATCCTCGCAGCATGCTGGCACCACCCCCTGAGGGCCTGGCCAGGGTGTTAAACCCTCCCTCCTGGGTGAATGCACCCAAACCAATAAACCCTTCTTATCCGTTTCGGGTTCTGCCCCCCTCCCATGGGGGTGTCCATCATACTGTCCCGGCCCTGGCTCCCATGGGAAAGATCCTCTTTCCTGTCTTCCCAGGCGGCGCACAGCACCATAGCCAGGAGCAGAGGTGGGGGGCCAATGCTGGGGTGCCCGTTGTCCTGCAGGGCCCTGACCTTGGCATAGCAGACCAGCCTAGGTTGAGGGTTTACCCTTTGGAACTTGGCTGCTCTGTGACTAGATCCTGGACCCAGTTCTCAGCTTTCTCCAGCGTGCGGGCGGCTGCAGGAGAGAGCCTTTCTGTGCGCCATGGAGGCTTTCCGGCTTCCACAGCTAGCTTTTAATTGCCTACAAATCACTCTCAGCTTTTTCTTTTGCCAAAGACTTCATTGTGCTTAGCAATAGCCTCGCCATTTCGCCATCCTTATATTTCTCCCTCCATATTTCTTAAACTCCTGATACCTGGAGCCCATTCATGAATTCTCTTCTACGAAAATACCACCCCAGTTCGTCAGCAGTAGATGTTTTAACCATTTCGATGTTACCTTGTGCCAGGGGCTGTGCTCCCCATACCAACGGTGAAGGGGTCCTCATTGCCTGCCGGCAGCCACTGCTATAACTCTGAATCCCATCCTAGCATTGCTTTCTGGGGCTCATTCCTGGTCCCCATGGCCACAGCTTGAGCTCCCCAGTGAGCAGGCTCTAGATGAAGATTAGCAAGCAGGAAGCTTATCTGAGAATGCTCCCGGGAATCAACACCGTGGAGGAAGGAACGGACACAGGATGGGGCCAAGAGAGAAACTGGATTGACTTCAACACTACCCGAAGCTTGGGTTCAGGGACTGGGCCTTTAGGAAACTCACTGCCCAATCAGGGATGTGGGTGGCCCAGAAAGGCTGCATTGCCTTGGTCAAGATGATTCTCTTCAGCTGAGGAATCTGCAGAGGACAGACAGCTGAGGGCTGAGGACAGACAGCTGAGGGCTGTCTGCTGGCAGCGTTCCCAGCTGCTTGGGTGCAAATCATTCCTGGAGGGGCTCGTCACAGCGCGTCACAGTGTCCACTAGACTGTGGGGACGCATGCTGGCTGATAAGTGGCTGGTGAACGGTGTGACAGTCCCTGGGTATGAACGGTGCACATCTTTTCTGATCAATTCAGATGATTCTGTAAAGTAGGAAGCAGGTTCAGCTGCAGGTAGAGAAAAGGTGGGGAGCCCACATTGTCAAACAAGGTCTAACCCAGAACAAGAATATGGGCCAGCCTTGGCAAGGCCGGTTAAACAGATCCTGCTGTGGGGCTGGGGTGGGGAGTCTGTTTGCCAACTGACACAGACTCCCAATTAAACGTGGAGCTTTTTGCTTCACTGTATTGTTCAGTATAACACCTAATTCAAAAAGTGTACTCGGGGCCGGCCTAGTGGCTCAGTTGGTTAAGAGCGCGAGCTCTGAGCAACAGCGTCGCCTGTTTGATTCCCACATGGGCCAGCGAGCTGCACCCGAGCTGAGCTGCTGCTGAGCTGCCGATGGGTGGCCAGATGGGTCAGTGGTTAGAGCGTGTGCTCCTCAGCTGCCAATGGGCGGCTGGATGGTGACTGGACTGGGAGCTGAGCTAGCTGCACCCTCCACAACTAAGATTGAAGGACAACAACTTGGCTGTTTCCCTCCCCCAATTCCCCAACACTGTTCCCCTTCTCCAATTCCCCAATAAAATCTTTAAAAAAACAAAAGTATATTCGGAACTACTTGAGTAAGTCTACTTTTTCAACTGTAATTTTTATGAAACTTAAATTCAGATCAACTATTCCTGATGAAAACTGAGCATCATAATTGAGATGTACTGTAAGTGTAAATTACACACTGGATTTCAAAGACTAGTATGAGAAAAAGAATGTATACCATTAACAATTTTAAAACGTTGATTGCATGTTGAAATGATACTACGTGGATATATTGAGTTCAATCAAATATATTAATAAAATTAAATCACCTATTTCTTTTGAATTTTTTAGTTAGGCTATCAGATAATTTAAAATCACTTCTTTGGCTCACGTTATTTCTTTCCTATAGCGCTGGGTCAGAAGCTAGAGGCAAGGCGCAGCCATGCAGTTTTCAAATTGACCACCAGGGGGAAACTTTATCCCGGGACTGAGGTGTTCCAACTCCAGGAAGCTGCGTCCCCCAAGATGAGTCTTGAAGGAACTCTAAAGAGAAGTATCAAGATCTGAAGAAAACTGGGAGAAAGACGTGGGGGAAGAGAGGATGATTTGAACCAGGGTTGTGTGTGGTCATTGCTGTGGGCTTGGCTGTGGGAGCATAAAATGGGAAATGGACTGTCAGAATTCTGTCTGCTTCTCTCTCCAGCTCGTGTTTTGGGGCAATGGGTGCCTGCCCCAGACCCATCTATGACAGCGATTATAGTTCAGGTGTCATCAGAATAAATGGGTGGTGCAGAAGCTCTGTGCAGGTGAGGAGCCGAGGACAGAAAGACCACCTCCACAGCCATCCCACCCCTCCCAATCCCTTCTGGGTGCTGCTGAGCAGGAAATGGAGCTCAGCACTGTTTCTTGGTGGGATGGGCAGTGAATAACTATGGTTTTTCGGAGCCTAGAGCTCATCCACTGCCTCCCACTCCTGAGCTCAAGGGACTGACACCTGCCAGGCACTGTGACCTCTCTCCATGTGTGTTGTACGACCTAGTACTCAGTGGCCCTGTGGGAATATGCATTCATAGGACAAAATAATGAGAATTCTGAGGCCCTCAGTTCAATGGAAATTCACAAATTGGAGCTTCAATAAGAAAAATAATTGCAATGGATTGGGACGCTCAAACATGTTTAAATTCACAAATACACGATGATTCTAAAAAACAAAATTAATTGGGTCACCTTTGGGGGATGATAGAGAACAAATTCATTATCTTAAAAATCAGTAAAAGGAAAAAAAGGTTAAAAAAATCTGTAAAGGAAAAAGAAAGAAGCATAGACCCTGCATGAACAGGACCACTGGGTGATTGAATGATAGATGGAGGGGGTATCTCTCTACAAGTATTCCAGATGATGATAAAGCAATGTTAAAATTAAGCTCCCACCATTTTGCAAGCCCCCAAAGAACTAATGGATCCAAGCATTGAACATCAAAGTCGGCTGACCTCACAAAAAGAGAGACAGCCAGTCCTGACACCTCCTGAAGAAGGAACCCAGCTCCACCCACAGTCTGGTCAAAGGGATTGAACCAGAGTCTGATCAAGCCTCTAGGTTTAACGGTCGAATCTCAGAAAACTCAGGGGACAAGGAGGGAGCTGCAAGGACAGTGGTGCCAACCTCTCGGACGGGATTGATATTTCCTGAGCTACGTAGTTTTATGTGTGTACCTCATGTGCAGAAGCCTGGGCTCTGAAGCAGAGAAGGGTGGAGATTTGATGCTCGTTCCAGGGCACTGGGTGTGGAGGGAGAAGGTACCCAGAGCATGTGCTGGAGGGAGAAGCCCTCATGGACAGGCTGTCTTGGTCCCAGTGCCCACGCTTCAGGGCTATGGACTGGCCAAGGACTCCTGCCTTCCAGAAAGCTCCATGAGCCAAGCTGGCTCCTGCAAGTAGGACTTGAATTCTACCCCAGGTGAAGTCCTGAGCAGGGAGGATGTGATACAAAGACAGCTTCCTGAAGAGGCTCGGGTTGTGGGGATACCTGCACTCTGGAAAGTGGGCAGTAGCACTACTCCCTGGTGAGTAACAGGGAAAATGCAGCCCCACATCCCCTAGGCCACACAGAGACATGCACAGTCAGTGTTTTTGTACAGATGCTTTTATTAGGGACATTAAGCGGGGGGATGGTAGGGGCCACAAGCTCAGTTGGCGGCCAGGATCTCCTGAACCCAGGGCATGAGCTCCGTGACGCGGGCATACACGGCAGGCGTGGAGGTGGAGCAAACACCGCTGCCCCAGGACACGATGCCCACCAGGGTCCAGGCTCCATCCTTTTGGCAGACCAGGGGGCCGCCAGAGTCACCCTGCAGAAGGAAAAGGGATTTGTGTCCAAGCCTGAAAGGGGTTTTTGGGCCCTAGTGTGCCCTGACCTGGCCAAGCCCAGGGGGTGTGCAGAGAAATGACAAGTGTGGACACAGTGGCCGTGCATGAGATACTTAGAGCTGGGCCATATGGCAGCCCCAGCTCTGTCACCTACTCCTGGAGAGCCTGGGGCAGGTAGCTTACCCTCTCATCCCACCATCATATGTAAAATGGGCTGAAAACGTCCAGCTCACAGGGTGGGTGTGAGATTAAATACCTCTGGCAAGCCTGGCACTACATCTGGCCAGAGCAAGCCCTCATCGGGGCATCTGTTAGTGCTGGACCTGGCTTTCACGGGGGCACCGGGCAAGGAGTGAGGTTAAGTAGATTGTAGCAGAAAGGAGTGGCCCTCCTGGCCTGACCAGGGGTGGAGCAAGGGCAGCGAGGGTGAGCAGGGTGAGCCAAGTGAGACCATACCATGCAGGAGGAGACGCCGCTGGCGCCGGCACAGACCATCACGTCGGTGATCTTGTTGCCCCAGAACTTCTTGCATTGGTCATTGGACAGGAGGGGCAGGGCCGCCTGCTGCAGCTTGTCGGGGGTCTTGTTGGCTGGGGGGACAAAGGGGGCGGGATCAGGGCTCTTCATCCCATCAGCCTACCCTGGGTAAGAGACCAGGGCTTCCTGGAGATGCTGACTCGCCCAGTGTGCGCCTCGTCCTTCACCATTACGGTGATCATGGATATAAAGCTCCTCACCTTCCCTTAGACCCTGCCAGCATCTATGGGACACAGTTCCTTTCTGATGACACACCAGGCAGTGGTGACATTGGTTCAAGCACAGTTGTTCAAACAAACCCTGCCCTGCCAAGCCCTGCGGTGGTCTAGGCCCTGCCGGCCACTGTGTGGTAGGCAGAAGGGCTGTGTCCTCCCTTCCAGGGAAGGGGGCTGATGACCTTCTGACTGGACACACTGGAGGGACCTCCACCACTCTTGGAAGCGATGAAGGGAACCCCCTCCTTCCTCCTGCCCTTTCCTGGCTGCTTCTGTCCTGTTAAAGGACCAGCTGGGGGAGCAGTGGCCTGGGCAGAAGACCTTAGGAGGCTAGAGAAAGAAGATCAGGCAGGGCCAGCGGCCGGGAAGGTGAGATGAGGCTGGACTCGCAGGGCTCCGACCCAGCCCTGGACATCTGACTCCCGGGACGAGCTGGATGCACCCGCCCTTCTCAAGTCAGAAGCGAAGACCAGGTGGAGACAGGATGCTGGTGAACTTGGTGCAGGTGAGTGAGGGCGAGACTTCCTGGTACTTAGGTGTTTCTTATGCAACTTACTGTTCAAGTGTATATTATTAAACTGCGTTTTTATTCATGTTTAGGAAGTTTTTAATTAAGAGGGTTTAAATAAATGGAAAGACTTATGACTGTATTGGAGTTTAGGGGGGAAAAAAGAGCCCTATGGGTCCCACTGGAGACGCCTGCTGCTCAGGCAGCTCCAACCCCAGACACAGCTCATGGGGGAAAGGCCACGTCATGCTCACCATTGTACTTGGTCTTGCCCCAGCCGGTGGTGGCGCACAGTGTCCCGGCGGGGAAGTCGTCGTCGGCGTCAGGCAGGCACACGGCGGACACGGTCTGGGAGAAGCGGGCGGGTGTGGCCAGCTTCAGCAGGGTGATGTCGTTGCGGACGGTGAGCATGTTGAACTTGGGGTTCTTGAAAACCTGTGGGGTGAGGCCAGAACTATAAAGTGAGGCTCTGGGAATAAATCAGCCACCTGCAGCTTTCAAGGAGACAAGCTCCTTTCCTGGTGGCCCGTTCACAGAAAGGAGACCCACAGCCCAGGGTGAGAATTCTGAGGCCACATCTGGTTCCTGTCTGTCAAGCAGCTGAAGGCTCCTCTCCCTCTTGCCCCTGTCCCAGCCCCTCGGCTGAGCCTCCCCGGCCAGTGCAGCAGGGTCTGGGCGTACCTTGGCAATCTTCAGGACCTGGATGTCCTCAGCATCTGAGCCCTGGTCAAACTCTCCGGCCACAACCAGGTGGGAGGTCCTAGTGGAAGCATGTGGGGGCTAAGGACCTAGAACAGGCCCTGCTCACCTCCCCCGACCCAACTGGAGCTGGAAGCAGAGCCCTGAGCATGCCCGGGCCCTCACCTGACACCGCAGTGGGCAGCGGTCACCACCCAGTCCTCGCTGATGAGGGAGCCCCCGCAGAAGTGGAAGCCGGTGCTGTCCTGGAGGAAGATGGAGAGGTCAGTGCTGGCTGGACGCCAGCAGCCCCGAGCAGGCCCACCACCCCAGTGTGTCCCCCACTCGTGTGCAGAATCCCCCTCACCTGCAGGGACACCTGCCAGGGCCAGGAGCCTGGGACAGCATCTTCCCCATTGACGATCCTGGACAGGCCACTCAGCACGGGGTGGATGGCGGGGACCCCGCAGCCTGGGGCAGATGGGCAGGAAGAAAGGTGAAGAAGTGCCGAGGCCTGGAGCTAGTCTTCAGAAATCTTGGTTTTTATGTCAGCCGCCCAGGCCAGCTCAGGACCCCACTGCCGCACTCCCTCCTCCTCCAGGAGCCTTCTCCCGGCACCCTCCAACCTGTAGCTTCAAGGATCCCCCCCCACGCAGCCTGCTGACCCTAGTCATGCTTCAAGGATGCTACGGGTCGGGCCTGCTCCCACCCAGGGCCGCTCTGCCTAAAGGAGGAGAACACGGCCTGAGAAATCACACTGCCGGGCCCCAGACCAGTCCCCGAAGCTCCAGTGCTCCTTTTCCTCAGTAAACTGGGGAGTAAAGGGTGCTAACCTCATGGATTAAGCTCACCCATTAGACTGGTGTGGTGAGGGGGCTGTGGGATTAAAATCTGATAACCCAAGTGCACGGGGAATCGGGAACTCGGACACTGCTGAGGGGAGTGTGATAGCTGGGCCCACGTTGGGCTCTCTCTTCTGGACATTCCAGGAGCTACTCATTGTACAAAGTGTAGTTTCTTAGCTAGTTCATAAAACGGGACTTTGATTCCACACCAGAAAAGGACATACTGGGGAAACAGAAACCAAAGGACTTGAATTGTCACAGAAGAATGAGAAAAGACAGGTGTACTTATGTGCCCGTGACACATTTGCTGGGTCAGGACCAGGTGAATTCTCAGCACCTGTGCAGGGGGGTTACAATTTGACAACAGTAAGGAAAGTTGGGTTAGGACAGCCCCTCTGACCAGCCAAGTCACCTTGAGGGTCACATGGGCCTGTGGGCGCAGGGAGATGGACTGGCCACTCACTGAAGAGTGTTATCACCAAAACATATGCCATCGTAATAATCTATTATCTTGTAACAGCAAAAGGATTAGAAATAAACTGTGATATATTTACACAGCTGAGTAAGTGAACGGGCTGGGTCATCGACAGAGATAAATCTAAAACATCACGTGGGTGGCAAAAGGTAAGTAGAGTGTCACTCTGTCTGTAAGTTTTTACAAAGGTTATATGTTGTTTGTGGAGTTATAAATATGTAGTAAATTGCTAAAAAACCCACGCAGAAAGGACACACAGCAAATTCAGAAGAGGGTTCACCTCCCAAGTGGAGGAGGGAGGAAACAGAAGGGAGCTTTAGCTGAATCTATTTTATATTTTAAAAGAAATGCCTCGAACAAATCTGCAAATAGGTAACATTTTGCTAACTGATGGTAGGTACGTGTATGTCATATAAATTTACATATTTTTAAAAACTATTCCTTCTTCTTTTTTAAAACTAGAAAATAAAACTTTAACAAGTGCCTGGCCCATAAATGAAACACCCGGGTGGAGGCCTTGGGAGGTATCTGTGACCACACTCTGCCTCTTCTGGGCCTCAGACCTCAGCAAGGCCTGGACCTGTCTTTTTCGCCCACCTAGTGCAGGGTGTGAGACTCAGAAAGCCCCGAAGGACTCCTCTCCTCCCTGTAGCCTGTCTGGAGGTGACGCCACGGGTCAGGGAAGGGGGCTCAGAGCTCCCTCTTGGGCAGACGCCAGGGCTCATTCCAATAGAGCCCTTCTGATGGGGCCTGACTACGGGGCCACTGAGGGCTCAGAGACCTCCACCCCACCTTCTCCCAGACTTGCTGGCCCCACCCCTTCCCCGACACTCACTGAAGGCAGCACCCACGAGGGCGAAGCAGGACAGGAGCCAGAGGAAGGCCATGTTGCTAGAGTCAGGGAAATGTGGGATGCCTGCTGTGTGGAGCCCTTTTTTATATCCCCTGGGACCCCTAAAACCCCGCCCAGTCCCCCAGCCCTGCCCAGTCAGAGAAGCCTGAGAGCCACCCTCCCTGTTATCCAGGGACCTTGGGCGATAAGAGGGGGCCAAGCCCCTCACGCAGCCCAGCCTGGCTGTCAGCCTGGGTCATCCCAGCCCCTGAGAAAAGAGCAGCTGCCCTAGCCCAGCGTCATCCATAAGACTTGGCAATGCCAGCCATTCCCAGGGCACTGTGGGCAAGGCCAGCACACAGGCTGGCAGCCCGGGCCTTGTAGAGACCAGCTCTGTGCAGTCTTTGCCAGGACACAGGTGCAGGGGGCTGTGCTACTCCCAGTTCAAGAGGGGAGATCCACAGCTCCTAACCACAGGAGATCCCACCACAGAGCCAAAGAATTAATTCAAAGAACCCCAGCTGGTCATTACTGGGAGGCCACCAGTCCCATAAACGCTGGCTGCAGGTTCTCGGCCAAGAGTGTGTTCACGCATTGCTCCCCAGGAAGTCACATATTATAAGGATATTCTGGGTTATCCAGAGGGTCGCCTCGAAGCCAGCCCGGCCAAACAGCTTTAGAGCAGGGCGTGAGGCCGTTGGTGGGCCTGCAGTGGCCGCCAGCAGGTTATAGATTGGCAAACGCGCTGCCAGGCAGTCCCAGGTCTGCTGCTGGGCTCCACTTGATTCTCTTTTTCTGTGATAATTCACAACTTAAGAAACTAGTCATTGCATAAAGCTTTTGTTTCTTATAAAATGGGGCTTTGATTCCACCCCATTTATTAAAGGATGCCCTGAGGAAACAGAAAATTAACGATGTAATACACCGGTGATGCATTTGTCATAAGTGGAGGCCAAATGACTTCTCAGCATCTGTGCACAGGTTCCTTCTCTCCCCGGGGGCCAGGCCGGGGCCCTCACAGGAACAGGGCACACATGGAGCCGAGACCCTAGTGAGAGAGACGGACACTAAACAAGTAAGAATATAATGCTCTAGGTCCAATAACGGAGATGGAATGGGGAGCCCTGCTACTCTATACAGTCCAGTGTGGGCATCACGGATGAGGTGGTTTGAAAAGAAAAATGCAGCAGGCAAACGGAGACTTACTGCCAACACTCTGTGGTCAACAGGCCATGGTCACCTAGAGAGAAGGTGGTCAGAGTGAGCAGGGCAGTGTCACTGGTCTCTGTTTGAACTTGATTGGATTTGAAGTTTTGTCTTTGATTTGTGAATTTAGTTTTGTTTTACAGTTGTGTGTTCTCATCAGGGGGGATATTCAAAATGTTTAATTAACCACTGACCAGAAGCTCTGACCAGTGAGAACAACGGCTGGGACCAATGGCTGGGACAGGCTGTGGGGAAGGGTTGAGGCCACCAAATTTTGAGGACATAGAGAGTGGGGCCAGCAGCTATTTACTAACTGGGTCTGAAGCTTTTTGATATTTTAACAGGCTATGTGGTCACCCAGGGCTGTCCTGGCTGAGGGTCAGCCCCGGCTTTGAGCATAAGGGGTTACACATTTAAATTCCAGGCCAGGGTAATTTTTGAAATATTAACATTTGCTTGTTTTTTTCCCCTTCACTCATTCCAGGCAGGTAGTCAAGCCATTTATGTTTTCCTTGACTCGGGGATTTTTCCACTGAAGTCCCTGGCTTTTCAGCTCTGTTGTGCAAGTAAACGCTCAGCCGACTTGAGTATGGGAGGGGTATGGGCTCAGAAGTCTCTACCTGGTCTGCAAAGAGATCTGTGTATATTTGCTGATGTGTATTTTACCTCGAGCAATTCCATTTGGCCCCAACCCAAGCAGACCACGAGATGAGCACTGTCTGGGAGCAGGGTGATCATTTACAGAGTGATAGCCGTTGCTGCTTGCCCAAAGCCATCGGCTCCTTTTTGTCCACACAGAGGGTTTCCATGGAGGGCCACCCCACCCAGCTCTGGGGAGAGCTCTGATTAATACAGGCCAGTGGAAACACATAGGGGTGAGGACAACCCCAACCCCACCCCACTATGGCAGTCTTGTGGGGAGGTGGCACTTGGCACTTTGGCTGCCATCATGAGACCTGGAGAAGAAAGACAAGAGATTCTGACCCAGAGCTGTACCATCGCTGAGCTGCTGAACAGAGGCCTGCAAATGCACACTTCCAAATCTCTGCTTGCGTGCACTCATGTGAGAAAAGTAAATCCCTCTTTTAGCCACTGCCAGGAATGCATTTTATTACAAAAAATAATCATAAGAATCTTAAGTAATATAAAATAATCATAAGAATGGTACTAGATGTCTCCCATCTTCCCCTTCAGATCCACTCTCCGCCCTTTTCCACCTTATGGGCCTCAAGCAGACTGCCCCTCAGGGATGAGACTGCACGACAGCTTCCCAGGCTCTCTGGCCTCCTGTAGAGGTCAGCCTAGGGGCGGCCCCAGCAGGAGCAGGGCCCAGGGAGAGAGAAGTTGGGTATTTATTCTTGGGTTCCCTCCGAGACGCTGCTACGGGTTGGCTGCCTCCCACTACAGAGGCCACAGATCCTTTCAGCGCCCCTCTCTGTAGAGCCACCCTTTCTGGATACCATAACTGCATCCTCCTTATCCTTTCAGCTCGAGGTGTGTCTCCACTGTTGCTAGAACCTTGTGTACCTCACTATCCCTTGTTGGTTTCCCTAAACCCTGCCAATATCTTTGTGACAATTCCCTTTATTAAAACTCCTCAACCCAGTTCCAGTGTGCCATCTGCTTTCAGGCAGGACCATGACTGATATAGTCACTGTGGCCCCAAGACCCCTGAACATGGAATCCTGAGGTTGGGTTGCTCCCACTGGAGGCGTCAAGGATAACCTCTTTGCCAGAGCAGATGAGACCCTGGGGGCCCCTGGCACGCAGTAGCATCACATTTACTCACATTAACACTGGAGGTGGCAGAGGCTGAAATGCAGGAGGGAACAGGCCCTGGGGGTCAAGTATCTGTGGCAATAAGTTCCTACAGCATCAATGGTGATCATAAATGTTGAGAAGGCCTACAAATGGCCAGTGAGCACATGAAAAGATGATCAAAACCACCAGTCATTAGGGAAATGCAAATCAAAACCACAGGGAGGTATCACTTCACACCCATTAGGGTGGCTGATATAAACAAAAACCAAAAAAAATAATAAGAAGAATTGGCAAGGATGTGGAGAAACCGGAACCCTTGTGTATTGTTGGTGGGAATGTAAAATAGTGCAGCCACTGTGGAAAACAGAACGGCAGTTGCTCAAAAAAATTAAAAATACATTTACCATAGGATCCCGCAATTCCATTTCTGGATAAATACCCCCCCCCAAAACTAAAAGCAGGGTCTCAAAGAGGTATTTGTACACCCATGTTCATAGCCCTGGGGAGGCCTCAGGATGGGGAAGAAACGGCCAGCCGCAGCGACAGGATGCGGGCACGTCAGCAAGCAGCAGTGTGACACCCGAGGAGGACCAGCTCCCCTCCCCATGTCTGGGCACAGTGCCTGCCGAGGATGACGGAGGTTACCGTCCATGGGCTGAGATTTGGTTTCAGGCTCCTGGCAGAATAAATGATGAAGATACAAGTATGTTCTCTAATAGAAAAATAAAGAAAACTACATTTGTTGCATGCCTGAGTTAATGAGAATTACTTCATTAAAAGGAGCAAAAAGAGTGTGGAGTGGGAGAGGGTCTACAGCCCAAATGTCCCAGTGGGAGAATTGAGTACACACCTGTGGTGTACTTACGAAGCACCGCCCCGCAATAAAAAGGAAAACTACTGATACACGCAAGAACGCAAGTGAATCGTGAAACCATTTGGCTGAGCGAAAGAACCCAGACTCAAAGACAACAATACTGTGTGGTTCCATTTATATATTGGGTTGTCGGAAAAGTCATGATGCATTTTTGCAACAAAAAAACATAGAAAAAATACGTCATGACTTTTCTGACAACCCAATAGAACAGGCAAGACTAATCCACAATGAAAGAAATCAGAACAGTGGGTGCTGGCTGCCTCAGAGCAGGGGGAATTGGAAATAGGCATGAAGGGCCTTTCTGGGTAATAGCGTTATTTTATACCTTGGTTGTGGTGTTTGTTACACTATGGTATATACTGGGGGTGCCAAAAAAAACTGTATACACGTTTTACGATAACACTGCGACTCTTTTTTTTTTTTTTAAGATTTTTATTGGGGAAATGGGGGGATGGGAACAGCGGTGGGAATTGGGGAAGGGGAACAGACAAGTTGCTGTTGTCTTGTTCTTCAGTCAGTTGTGGAGGACGTCGCCTCACTGACCCAACTTGGCACCATCATTGCGCTCTTCCCGGGCAAGGCAGATCAGTTGCTGGCTTCTGGACGGCTGCTTACTGCGGCTGCTGGCCGCTCACGCTGGCTGCTGGCTACACACGGTAGCCCATGGCAACCCACTGCCACAGGGGCCGCAGCCTATGCCGTCGCCAGCGACTCACGGCAACCCAGCTCCAGGTTGAGCTGTTGTTCAGCATCTTAGCTGTGGAGGGCAGTGTCACTGGCCCTCATATATGGGATCCGAACCGGGGCCCTCTGTCATCCCAAGCCAGTTCTTAATCATCGCGCCACTCGGCCGGCCCAACACTGCAACTCTTAAAATGAGTATACTTTTTTTTTTGACACCCCCTGGTATACGTAAAAATTTATCCCTCTGTTCACTTACGATCTATGCATTTCACCATCTATAATTTATTCTTCACTATATCTTATTTTTAATAAGAAGAAGAAGAAGAGGAAGAAGGAGAAGGAAGTGGAGGAGGAGGAGGTTGGAATGTGACCCCCTCAGCTGTAGAGTTTCCAGGGGAATTGCTCCCTCCTCTAAGGAGGCTGACACCTGAGTTCTGGCCTCAGGGAAGATGCCACAGTCTTAGCAGTTCCAGTCCTGAGTCAAGCGTGCACAAGGCCCCTCAGCCCTCTGAAACACCCAGATGCTGGGCAGAACCTGGAACCTGGCACAGCCCCC